AATCGAAATTTTGATCATCATGTCAATCACGAGATTGTTGATCATACCGGCCAATAAAAACAAACTATCCCTATGCTCTTTTTACCAGTGAGTGTATATATATGGCGTAATAATCACGTGATTATTACACGTGATACCGGCGGTCCTACACGTGACCAGATTCCTCGTTTTCGGCTTTGCAAAAATGCTGTTCTATTAATTGGATTTGAGTTACTGTAAGCTTCGAAATTGTGTTGGCACCATATGAGAGAATTCGTTTAATTTATTTACCCTGATATTGCGAAATAACTTGTATATCTTAACAGCCCTTTGAGTTTTTTTGCGCAAATTATCTTTCAAATATCCCGGGATATGTTGCACGATTTCGTTATAAACCCGATTTCGCGCGGATTGATCTCTAACACCCCTCTCGTTTTTTAATATATCCTCAACTCTTCCCTCGAACCCTTTCCCATAATAATACCAACAAGTAATTTCTTCCTGATTTGCTTTCATCACACGCATTTCGGCAACGACATGCTTTCTGGAATAAAATGCTTAGATTTTTTGGTGCTGAATTCTTGTTATTTTCATCTTCATCAATCATAGCTTCGACGGTTTCACCCTTAATAGGTGTGGACAACTCTCCCAACAAACTTTGTACAATATCCCCTTCATCGGTGTCTTTTGATGATGTCTGCTCATAATTGTCATCATCGATTACAATAGGACTCTTGAGTATTGGTAGATTCTTTCTACTTTGTGCGATCTGATTCTCTTGCTGTGTAGAAGTCGTGTCTACCAACAATCCTAGTTCACCCATATATTCCAAATTGTTATCACCGTCTATAGTATCCGTACTTAGTTGGGATGCTTTCTTTCCCGAGTCTTGGTCTTTACGCACTAGATTAAATTCACCAGATGCATGTGTACGTTCCTCTCTAATAATATCAATGTTAGTGGGGCAAATAGTGCAAGTAGGGAATCGGGTTACTGTGCGTATAATATATTCTTCGAGACATGACCGATGTAGTAGGTGTCCACACGACAGCGCTGTAAATGCTTGAAATCGGAAAGTTAATATATCTTTGCCACAAAGCTTACATGGTTTAAGTCATCCTGAAATTATGATTGGTTAATAAATTAACTGGCATTTTCACGTGTCGATCGCATATGACCAAAATTAGTTTGACCCTCAATTCACAGTTTTTTTTTTGTCAATTACAAATTAATTAGACTAACATCTGTCGGCAATTGAATTTTTTTTTCTGTAAATAACGAAATTCACATCATGTCTCCCTCACAGAACAAATTATTCTTTAAATGGTCCGAGGCGTTTGATTCAGCAAGACACAAGCTTCTCGCTATCAGGCAACAAGAAGGAATCGAAGAAGTAAAACGAAAGGGAATTATTATTGACAAAAACGTATCACTTTCAACTTATCTTGAGTTTTGTAAAGGAGAACCAAGCATTTCTGTCAAACACCATTTAATCGACGGAAAAATCGAAGCCTACGAAATGCCTCTCGACCCTCACTCACTGATACAAGCAAAGTTAACTAATATTATGGATAATTGGAATGATCAGTTGCTAGCTATGGGTGAAACGGATATTATCGTGAATGCGAATAGTGTCTATCGTCCTGATATTTGTGTTCGACCAGTAAATCGCCGACGACCTTCACGCGCACAAGCAATCAATTCAACGGGACTCCCATATCCAACTATGGTGGTGGAAATTGGAAGTACCGAAAGTTTGAACCATATGCATGATAAAGTAGCAAATTATTTTTCTGTACGGACTACTATCCAAATTTATTTAGCCATCAAGTTGTACTTACGTCTCCAGAATAATACTTTTGCGCTTCTTGCACTGCTTTACTTACGTAACAATCAAAATCCAACAATACCTGTAATTGCGAAGTCTTTCGGAATAGCATCTCTTAGCAATATCTCGCGAGCATATCTTCTAAATACTATACGCGTTCCAGTCAATATGATTACTGGTGTCGATGACGAATTTGGCGGGATTCCTTGTAATGGTGCAAATATTCCTGGATATCAAATAGATATTCCTGCTGAATTACTTTTTAACGATGTTCCTGACGGTGTTCCTGGCGATGCACCCGTTAACTTTAATATAGATCTATGGAAATTACAAAACCGCATTTCAGTGGGTCTAAGTCTATAATTAGTTTTTGTTTAATATTAATTTTAATGTATAATTACGTTTTCACAAACCCGATGTAAAAATAATGAATTATTCCATTTGAGCTCTATGTCACATGTATAGTAGTTTTATTAGTCAATCATGAAAACGTACGAGACAAATGAATGTTTTCTGATGACGATGATGCAGGTTATTACTATGATTTAAGTAACGGGGAGAAATTTGATCCATAATCATTAAAACGTATACATGATATAGCGCATATTAACTTTAATAAAAATAATAACTTTATTAATATATATATATATTTACTGCACATTTATGATTAAAGCTGTATTAGAGAATATTCTAAATTTAACCCATAGAAATAGTTTTCGAAAATTTGATTATTATAAATTTATTAAATTTTTCTTGGCATTTTTACTTCCTGAACTTAGTTCAGGGATTTTTGTCATGTGAATTTATATCTTTACGATAAAGAATTGAATATATCTACACATATAAAACGATGACAGATATGCAATCTACAATGGTTTCGTTAAGAGAATTAAATACCAAGCTTGCATTCGAGATTAGCGAACTTAGAAAGAAGTATGCCGAGCTTGAAGCTAAGAATATTGAAGTCGAAACTGAGAATACAAAATTAAAACAAGACAAAAAAGAAGTTGAAGTCAGATTTATGAATCTAGAGCAGAAAGATAGAGAAAAAACTAATCTAATTGCTAAATTGAAACATGATGTCTCTCTAATCAAAGAGCAAAACTTGCAAAACAAGAGTAATGGGTATACTTCTGAACAGATACTCCTCTTGCAAAGAGAAAGTGATGTCAATATACCTAACCCTGTTATAAACCAGTACATCAGCTCCACTGATACTAACTCCAAATCGTTAGAAGATGATACTCTCGAACAGGTAGAAAATAACTCTGATAACACATCTGATGATGCAGAGCATTGAATATCTGGTTCCTTTGAAATATGCCAAGAAAGAGATAGTCGATCTTCTGCATCTCATGAAACAAATTCTAGTTACTTTGTGACCGCTTCTGGCAATGATAATCCTGAACAGATAAACTTACGATGTAATGGCACTTCCACATCTGATATAACTGATGACACTTCAAATTTTGATGTATGTTAAGAGACAAAGACTTAGCCGGAGGCCTTGATTACATCAGCGGAGCTGGCACGGCCAAGATGCGCATCATTAATTTGTATAGAAAATAAATCTTCGGAAGATATAGTGATTGATGAATTTCTAGACCTAAAAGAAAAGGAAAGGGTCAGTAATATGGTAAGAAAGAAAAATAGAGAAAAGAAGCTTAGATCTCAATTGGATAATATTTCACAATCTAATAAAAACAAAGTACAGAAGTTTATGTCGGAAGTTTCTACAAACTCTAGTTCGCAGTTACAATATACTGGTTCTATTAGTAATAGTAGTGCAGATAGTGATGCGATACCTACAACCTTAAATGAAATAGAATCTCAATCCAGCAATACTAGCTTCACAGTTTTATATGAAAAACTTTGTAATGCTATAACTCTTGCTAATCGTAAAACCCAAGAAGCAATCTTCTGTTATTGTAATTTTGACAAAACTCTTATTCAAAGACATAATGAAATAACATCAGAAAAACAAGTTGATCCAGAATCTAATGCAGTTAGTAGAATTTTAAATAAAGAAGTTTGTGCTCAGCTTCCTACAAATATTTCTGATGTACTTTTATGGAAAAGGCTAAAAAGCTCTACAAACTTTTTAGTACAATAGGTATGAATAAAATTGTCAAATATATTTTTTTTCTGTTAATAGTATTTCAAAAATGACAAACAAAGATATTCAATATATTATAGATAACATGCCATTTGACTATAGTATTGAGATAGAACCTACTTCAAAATCTAAAATCCTTGAACTGAGTTCAGGAAGTGGTAATGAAAATTTTTCTGATTTAAAAGTTAAGTATATCAACCATATCTCAATTCAAGAAGGATTTATTAGAAGTTGAGAAAGGTTCATTTCCTGAGAAGGTATCACTGGAAAAATTATCAGAAATAATTTCAGAGGAATCAACTGAGACAAATGTATTATTTAATCCAACTCATAACCATGCTTACTTTCGTAATAAGATATTGTTGCAATATTATAATCTGTATAAAACATTTATTACTGAAAAATTTGATTACTATAATATTATTGAGGGATCATTGTGTCCAGTATATAAATTAAAATATGAAGATGGAAAAAGTATAAAAGGTAGATATAAAGCTGAATCTTATTTTGTTAAATTTGAAAAGTATGAAATCGAGATAACAGCATTGTTGTATCAATATGTGAACAAGAGTCTGAAGAATAACTAATATTCTTAAACTAAACTAACTTAAACTACTTAAATAATTCTCAAAATTTCTCAAGGATTACTAAGATTAACTCAATTCAATTATTTAATAATGAATTTGAATGAATATTACAAGATGAATTCTTTATTGTGCGGGATTTTAGTACATCAAATCAGCTTATTTGCTTAATAAGATATATATACTAAAGAGTATTTATACAAGATTAACTCAGGTTTTATTTAGAATTACATGACAAATTAACAAATTAAAGATTTAATGGGGATATTTAATGTGATATGACTTTATTAATAAATATAATGATAAATATAAAGATAAAATATAATATAAAAATAGAAATTATAAAAGTAAAGGTAAATATTAAAGGATTAAATTATATATTAACTAGAAGAGACAACCTAGTTCTAGTTTCTTTAACTATTCAGAACTATAAAACTTCTGAACTCCCCTTCCAGACCAGGGAAGACTCATATTTATATTCTTTTAATTTGCTGCACACAACGATCTATCAAATTAATGATTTATCAATTTTAACAAGAAGTAATTAACCTGGTGATCCACCTGTTACGTGCAACAGGTAATTTATCTAAGTAATTCACCTGGTAATCAACCTGGTGAGCTACCTGTTACATGATCTTTGATTAATATAAATTACAAATAAATAATAAATACATTAAATAATAATATAATAAAATAAATAAAATTAATATTCTACAATGGTATTAAATTTCTGTAATTTTTTAAACATAATATTACGGAATTTTAACATTTTAATAACTTTCGAAAATTTTCATAAATTTTGTAATATTACATAAAAAATTATGTAAATTTATCACCATGTTAAAATTACAGAATATTATGTTCGAAAAAATTTTCTGATGATATAACCATTGAAAATTATTTCTAATTTTATAGGTAATTACATTATAGTATTACAACATTATAAATAATTAATTAGATAATTGGATAATTGAATAATTGATTAATCAATTATAAATAATTAATCTATACTTGTACACAAAATTATTTTGAAATTCTGAAATTACAATTTTAAAGAAAAAAGTCAAAATAGTTTTTCATAAAAGATAAAATTATTTTATTTAAAACCTGAAATTTTTTGACTATTTAGATAAATTCTTTGATCAAAGATACATTTAACTAGATATTTTTTTACTTTCATATATAGAATAGATTCTGAGTAAATCTCAAAAAGATAAAATACTTCAAAAATCAAAAATTAATTTTGAAAACATATATAGATTAATTGATTATAAACAATTAATCAATTACAAATAATTAATCGATTACAAATGATTAATTGATTACAAATGATTAATTGATTATTTATTATAATTGGATAATCATATTTAATAAAGATCATAATTAATTATTTGATTATTCAATTATAATCAATTATGATTATATCAATTCTGACCACTAAACTATTGTCATGGAAATAGTTCTAATTCACTTTTTGTTCTTAGTTACAAGATGATATGTGTTTTATTCCTGTAATATCAATATTCTCTTCTTTTTATATAATACATGATTCATTCTTATCTTTAAGGTTACTTAATACTATTTTTGATATTTACTTATAAACTAAAAAGTTTTATATATAACAACTATTGATAATTATTTTTGATCTTATATATAATTATATTATGATATAATTGTAACATAATTGTGACATTGCAATATAATTGTGACATTGTGACATAATTGCAACATTGCAGCATAATTAGTGTCACAATTCACTAATTCCATCAGGTATCACTAAAAACAATTTAGTCAACAACTATAGTTCAAGTTATAAAATTGTAATAAAATAATCTTTTACAATTACAGTTCTAATTTGTTAAGTGTTATTTGTTTAAGTGATACACTGCCTATTAACAAATCCTCATGTCACTGTTAATAGTTAAATTATCTCTTATATAACTAACTGTACTATAATTCCTGTTGTACCTGTGTAATTCCTAAAATAGTTTAATAGTTTAAGTTTTAGTTACCATCATTTTTCTACAAAGTTAAAGGTTTAGAAGGGTAACAACCTTCTTGAATATCAAAGATTAGTAAATATTTCTATATTCTATCTTATCAATATAATAATATATAAAAAAATAAAAAAAAATATTTCTTATAAACAACTATCCCCATGACAGGGAGTGGTTACTCTAAAAAAAAATAATATTACTGCACCTCACGGACTATTTCTTAGTCTCATTGAATTATTATTCAAATTGTCAAATGTGCAAGTATTCTTTCTTTATGGATTTCCCATGGGAGATGTAAAAATTCTAAAGCTTGCCTTTTTATAAAATTCTAAATTAGTCACAATTATTGTCAATTAAAAAATTTACATGATAATTGTCAAGCATGTATGTTAATTAATACATCATCTTCCAATGGGCAGATGCATCAGAAGATAAGTATAGATTAAAAATAAAATTTCTAATTTTATTTCTCTTTCATATTCCGTTTTTAATACTTTTATTGCTTGGTATTATAAATCCATGGTAATCATTTTACGATGTATTAAATTAATAAAACTATAATATAGTATAGTTTGCATCTGTTGGGTGCAAAAATATTATAGTTTTAAAGGATTGATTTTTTGAAAAATTTACCAGACTTTTTACAAAAAAAATCCTCATACCCCATTCCTCCATCACGTTTGTATTTCTTACCATAAATATCATGATCTTTTTTTAAATCCAAATATCTTTGCCTTTATTTATTTTTGAATCAAAATTAAACTTTTTTTACTTTTTTTGAATTATTTACAATTTGAGTATCATCATTTTTTTTCTATATCTGTAAATAAAAAAATATCCGCCATGAAAGTTGTAACCTTTTAAATTTCCTTGGTTAAATTACATCAGGTATCATTATTTGTAATTGTCTTCTGAAGGCCAACTGTAATAACATTTCAACCGAGACAACATATGTCTCTTGAATCACGCTTGCACTTTGGTAGATAATCTTGTTCTGGGTATTAATAAAAAAAAAAGTGATTCTAACTTGCTTAAAGCAAACATTGTACAATAATAATTTTTGTGCAAAATAAAAATAATCTCGACATACAATATATATTGGATAAAAAAAAAAATAGATATTTATGTCAACATGAATGACAAAAAAAGATAATAATTTCACGGTTCATGCACATTGGATTTACTTATTATTATCTAATACAAAAAGAAAAAAGAAAAAAGAAAAAAAAATCAAATAGTTATTGACCATCAAATTAAATGAAATCAAGAAATTTATTGTAAATGAATCCATTCCTTCAACTATTTCTATTAATGTCAATATCATATAAATATCATATTAAATATGAATATAAAATAATTTATTAATAAATAATAAATAATAAATAATAAATAATAAATAATAAATAATAAATAATAAATATAAATACCAAAAATTATAGGTTATCAAGAAGATATTGTTTCCGTGAAATTATTATAACCGGATGATTTAGAAGGTTGAGGAATATAAGCGGATTGTTTTAATGATTGTGATGAAGGATCATATTCATGTGATTGAGATGATTGTTGCTGTTGTTGTTGTTGTTGTTGAGGGATTCCAAATTCTTGTTGTTGTTGTGTTTCATCTTCTGAATCCCTATAAAAAGCGGTACAATAAAATGTATATGTATATAAAGTGTATACATATTATATAAAGTATAATCTTTTACCATTTAATAGGTCTCCTCGTTACTCTAGGTTTATCCGCCAAGATATTTCGATATAATTTGTCTAGTACTACAATTGATGGTGGATTTTCTCTCAACTCTTCTTCACTATATTCATTATTTACATAATATCCCACACGAACAAATTCTTGATCTTTATAAGAACATGTGATTATAATCACAGTAACATCCAAGATTTCGTTTGGTGGTATACGATCAGGGTTAGGCGCTGGTGCCTTTTAAAAAATATAAATTATTTCAATTATTTATCTTTTTTTTTTTTTCAAATAAATCTAAATACAATCTAAATAAATAAATAAATAAATAAATAAAATAATAATAATTTTAAATAATTACCTGGAATATAAATTGATTGATTCCCATAGGAACAGGTCCTACCATAATGCTATCAAGAACTTGATCGTATTGATCACTTTCTGAAGAACCAACATAAATAATCTTCCATTCTAAATCTATAGGAAAAATAATTGTTGGTAGCATTAAAAATGAATTTACACAATAACAATAATATAATATAAAACTTGTAAAAATGAAGAAATATAATAAATTGCTGCAACTCATCGAACTTCCTTTTAAAAGTATTATTATTATTAAAAACATACCGTCTGATAAGTTTGAAATACACTCAAAAGTAATTTCAAATCGATATTCTTCTTTAAATAAAGTTGGGTTATTAAGCACTTTGATATTTGTAATGCTAACAACACTCATTTTAAGAAAAATTTCATCAAAATAAGTTTTGCAAAAAACGCGAACTTTTATAGCCCACAGTTGTTTAAGGGGCTATTATGTCATCAATTTTATATTATTATAAACTATTCCCAATTTGATTATTTACGCATTTTTAAATTTTAACTCGATCTGGAACTATTAGACAATTTACACAATCTTTCTGAGAAGAGTCTGGCAAGCTTTGACATTGTTTAGTTTCAATGATGAAGGATGGAATACTCGAGGTCAAAGAGAGCGGCGTTTTCCGTTGCAAAAAACTTTGAGGCAAATACCGTATACTGCTGGTCATAGTATCCTGACTATAATAGTTCCCTTAATAATATTTATTCCTCTATAACTGCTTCAGGAAAAATTCACATATTTCGACATCAAATTGAGAACTGTTATTGCTGAGGTTTTTTGCGAGAAACTGATTTATGATGGTGTGAATGTGCTGGACTTTATTCACTCAAAAGCATTATAAAGATCTACAATGTTGATTGTATTAAATATTTGCCTAGTGACTTTAAAAAATTTATTGAAAAATCAGCCCCAAGACCCGAAATCAAGGTTATAAATCTCTAAAGGAAGAACTATCAATAAGCTTTATGTTAATTGTGAGGAAGAAGTGTTGAAATTCCTGGACAAGTTTGATCATCTAAAGGAAAGGAATCTTTGGGAAAATGTCTAGACAAAAATTCAAATCAGTTACTCTTCTAACATCCAACGATCTTATATATGTTTATCACTTCTACTTTTTTATATAAAAATAAATCTTACTTCCTTATTTAATTTCTGGAAAAAAAAGGATATTGAAAATGTGATTGAACTACTTATAATTTATTCCTTTATTTTACCTTTCTAAAGATTACAAAAAATTTTGTATTTACAAATTCATTAAATTATTATTAATATATATTATGATTAATATAATATTATGATTAATATATTGTTATTAATTGTATATGTAAGAAAGTATAAAATGTATAAAATTAAAATTTGTAAAATTTCTATTTTCTTATCATAAAATATCTATTATAAAAATTAATTCTATTTATAAAAATAATTCTATTCGACTTTTTCTGTATCATTCGTAAAGGGTATTGTATATTCAGTTTCTTTAGTACCATCCAATTTATTTCTACATAATATTTTCCATAATATAGGAGTCACAATTAAAGTTAATGATGTAATAGCCAAAAGTAAATAATAAACCTCTCGGGATATTATTCCAAAACTTTTTGCACGACTACCTAATACAAATGCAAATTCGCTTATTTGTGATAATCCAATTGACATAACGTTCGCGTGACGAAAGTTGTAACCAAATGTCATAAATGCAATATTGCTTATTATAAATTTAAACCCAACAACTCCAATTGTAAGAGCAAATAATAAAGGTCCTTCGTTAATCAAAAAACTAGGATATATATGAAGTCCGATGCTAGCAAAAAATAAACAAGAAAATATATCTTTGACAGGTTCCACTAAATTTATGGAAAATTCAAAAAATGTTCTACGATTATGAACCAACATTCCCGCAACAAAACATCCAATTTCAGCACCAATTCCAAGTATATAAGAAACTTGTGACATTAATAAGCATAATGAAACTAATCCAAGAATAAAAAGTTCATTATTATTATTATTATTGGATCCCTTAACAGATTTAAAAATCCATGAGATAGGTATATAGGCAACAAGAAGGCTAAATGTTCCAAATAACAATAAAGATAAAAATAAGTGTCCCAATGAAATAAATATCTCAACACCAGATCGAGATAGAACAGGCATAGCGGCCTAAATAATTAATTAATTAAAGTTTAATTAATTTATTAGAGATGTAATTGTATTAAATAATAAAATATAATAAAATATAATAAAATATGATAAAATATAATAAAATATTGATAAAAAGATAATAAAATATGATAAAAGATAATAAAATATTATTATTAAACTTACCAATAATACTCCAAATAATACGTCTTGCATTACAAGTAAACCATATAAAGGCTCTAATTCTATACAGCGTAACCTTTCAACAACTGCGGTACTAGAAAGAGATACACATGCACCAACAACAACTGCCTCTTTGACACTAACGTTGATAATAGCACCCGCCAAAACGAAAAATGATAAGGTTGATAAGAAGATCATAGTTGCACTACATAATGCAAACTTCCAGATGGACCTGATTTTATCAAATGAGAATTCTAAACCCAACATAAAAACTATAAATACAACACCAAGCTGTGAAAGTGTTTCTGTTTGAATTAGTTCCTAAATTTTCAAATTAAAAAATTAAAATTAAAGGAATATTAAAATTATGGAATTTCATAAATAATAATAATAATAATAATAATAATAATAATAATAATAATAATAATAATAATAATAATAATAATTTACCTGAATTACGTTGCATCCCGCTGGACCAAGAACGCAACCAGCAATAATGTACCCAATAAACGCTAATAATTAATTAAAATTTAAATTAATTTTATTTTCTGAAATGATATTTAATAAAAAAGAAATAATACAAATTTAAAAAGATTAATTAAAGAATACCTGGTAATCCCATACTATTAAGTATCCCTCCAAAAAGAAATGCAGTAATGATAATAAAAATTAGGTCTTGAACAAGACGACCATCTATTATAATATATATATATATAAAATGAGAAAAATGAATGAAAAAAAAATATATATAACATTTTAAAGTATTTAATAATAATTATCAATTTTTACCTTCATAGAATGTGGTCAAATCATTAGGTCTTGTAAGTACATATTCATTATTATCTCTATCTAAAAGCATGTTAACTTTTGAATTAGGATTATTTTCTTTTTCATGTTCGTTATATTCATCTTCATCTTCCAATTTAACTACCATATCAAGTGTTCCATGTATTTTAGATCCATCAGCAAACTTATGTTGATGCATATTTTCTTCTATTCTATCCGCTTCAATACCAACATCTTGTAACACATTTTTGATTATATCAAAAGCACTGCTTTCGTGTTGAGAATCTGTATGCTTATCATCTGTTTTATTAATTCCAATTCCATTATTTACATATAAATCCCATACATGTTGCAAAAATTCCGTGTCATTCATTATTAATGCTTGATGATGGAATTTATATAAGAGTTTTAAAGCTTCCGCATTTAAATAGGATTGATCAGTTGAATTATTTTTATCAATTAATTTGTCAAATACATCGAGAAGTCCAAATGTCAAGTCTTTAAATGCTCCAACCCGCGCAATTGCGACCGTTATTGAATTTATTTTTTTATTTTTTTCAATTTCTGAGATTTCAATACTATCTTGAATAGCAATTTGCCGCTTCATTTCACTCTTTATGTATCGTTGATATTTTCGTACATAATATTGTGAACTGCGTGGTTGAGTCGACTTTAATAAGATGAGTACCACAAATGATAAAATGAATTATTATTAGTTCACAATTTATATTTATAAGAAATTTACAAACAAGTATATAATATACCTTTTCATTTTTTATTGTCTCATTACATAATACTTTTATGAGAAAAATACTCAAAAAAAGAAGAATAAATGACAAATACTTTATTACACTAGTTGGAAGCATTACTTTAAAGTGATGTTGTAGGTTAGGGAATAAGGAATGAAAGGAATGGTTGATTCGAGTATTATAAATTCGATGGAAAAAAACCGAATCATTTAATGCATTTAATGAAGTTGTTTCACAATATTACTCGGTGTATGACAAAGCCGATAAACTAACTGTTTCTCTTTCGCTGATTTCGAGTCTCAATGCAAAATAACAAAAGTAAAAATATTTCTGAACCAATTGATAACGAACTTTCAACAATGGTTAGTTTTGAAGTTCCAATCCAAAAAGGTCGAGAGGAGAATAACGTTTTTTGGTATCAAGACTATGTTAGCAACAATAAACCTTCTTTAAATAATTTTGAAACTAAAAAACCTGTGGACGACCAATTTAAATTTGAAGAAATAATAATAAACGAAACATTGGGCTTCTTAAAAACTTTAGAGCGCGAATCCCGTCCAATACCTAAGTTTTATGCATCCAAACCTGAAGATCTTATTGTAGATACTAATAATACTGAAGTTACTGAAGCAATCGGTAATTCTGTAAATGAAATCAGTGGAGACCAGCAATCCTCCAATTCCCCAGTTCCTTCAACAAAAAGTAAAGAGGTCAAACAACCCAGACAGAAACGAACAATAACCGCAAGAAGCTCTAGGAGCCCAAGGAGCCCTAGGAGTCCAAAGAGCCCTAAGAGTCCGCGGACGCCAACGACTCCCAGAAGCCCGAAAAACCCTCCAAAAAGAGCACCTAAAAAATTGGATAGTAATGGGGAGCTAGCTTCCAACAGTAGTACATCACGAAAACGAAAAGCACCAAGAACGACAAAACGTAAAAAAACAACTCAGGAGGATGAGAAAGAAGTATCAAACACGACTCCAAGTGAAATGGAGGTTGAACGAAAACCAGAAAGAAAGCGTAGACAATATAAAAGACGAGTGCCCACCACCACGAACACCAATAATAATAATAATAATAAAAACCACATTGAATCAACTTCCTCATCCTCAGCTCTATTAAGCCCTGAGAATGCCGATACATCAAATAATGATGAAAACGTAACTCAGAAAAAATCAGACGACGTAAATATTGAAAATAGTAAGAAAAGAGTACGAACGAGCACCAAAAATTCACCAAAAGAGAAAGTTGCAACTACAGCTACAACTACCTCATCAACTTCTTCAAACTTAACACCTATGACTTCTTCAATTTCAAACTTAACATCTACGACTTCATCAACTTCAAGTTTAACATCTCTGACCCCATCAATTTCAAATTTAACATCTCTGACTCCATCAAATTCAACCTTGACATCTCTGACATTATCATCGCAAGAATCCCCATCAGAGGAATCAAAATCTCCTACTATTAAAAAAATGCTTTGTTCCTGAATTTATTATTAAAATTATTATTAAAATTATTATTAAAATTATTAATTAAAATTATTTAAAATTAAACTTAGATTATTTAATACAATTATATAACCTTTAAGAACCTTTATATTTAATCTTTTTTTTCTTAGTGAATTAGTTAATTTCGCTTTTTGGTTTAATAAATCTTTTTTGAAATAAAATTTGTAAATACTGTACATGATAAGTAATAACTTGTGTAACTTGGTATAATTAACCTATCATGTGATATGTGCCATCGAAATCTGCATACCATGTATGCGATAAACATGTAACACAGAAGAACAATGCATGTGTAATACGCGTTATTTAGGTTCTCGTTTTTTTCCGATTCTTGTATTTTTTCTTGCAACTTTCAAACCTATATTTTTTACCAAGTTTTTTATATAAACATGTCTTCTGAAAAATATCCCGGTTATGAAGAACTTATATCATATTTGACGCGAAGCAGAGACAAATCTTTCTGGAGTTTTCTACTCCGTTGTCGAGACACAATCCTTGTCACCACTTCAGCTACTTCTCGCAAACAGGATCTCGAAGGCACCTGGATCAGTAATTTCTTACTGGAAGCAAGAAAACTCGGTGAAGATTTAGAAGAAATGGTGTGTATTTTTTTATTTTGCAAGGTTAGGGTAACTTCTAGCGTGCTTCGGGACGCCTAGGAGAACTACCGGGTATGACCACTTGGGTAACCAGCCCCAAGTCCTCTATTCGGGCACTCTAACTTTGTCGTTGGTAAAGGTCTATTGCTTCTGGGGGAGGAATCGATTATGTGTCTTCCTTTTGAGGCATGCCGTTTGTCATCTCATTTCTCTATACTGTAGGGCTCGCCCTAAACCATTTGAATGCCCTCACTACTAAATAAAAATTACACACTGTTAACATTGATAAATGCTTTTCTTACAATAGGTCAATTCAGAACGGGTGCGCCGTGCGAAAAAGTTTGAAGATTACTGGATCAATATAATTAATGAGTAAGTAAAATCAGTTATTTTGCATTTATATATCAGCTTTATTATTATTCATGATTATTCTTCTGAATTAGAAACAAGAAATTGAAGCCCATAAATCAGCACTATTGCGCCTTCAGCTCGAACTATCTGAAATCAACAAAAAAGTAAGGAGGGAAAATGCCGAATTCACTAAAAATTCAATGGATGAGGATTTTGCAGTAAAAGAAAAAAAAGAATGTGATTATGAATGTGTAACTAAAGAATGTCGAAAAAATAAATCATTATCAACACAACAATCATCATGACGACCATCACGACAACCATCACATAATAATTTGGAAGATAATAATTATAACAATGGCAGTGGTGATGACGATAACAATAATAGCAATCGCAACAATAACAATTCATGTATAGGATGTCCTGTACATTGTCCAGATTGATTCGTTTTTTATATTTTTTATCCTATATTATTATCATATATTTTATTAATAAAGAATTGATACATATTAAAGGTCAAATACAAAAGAATTATCATACCAAAAGAGGAATTCCGATTTTAGCTGATTTGTAATATAGGATGCAATAGGATGGTCGATTTTTAGCTGATCTATAATATAGGGATCACCATTTGGTACAGTGATTCTTTTGTATTTGACTAGTGTATTAATATGAATTATTTTTTCGTGTGAATGAACTATTTCAGGTAAAAAATCAGTTACATTGTATATCATTTTTTCGTGAGGTTATATATGCATCAAGATTTTTATATCCGATATACCTGAAATAGGTTTGAATACTCTGTACTCCCGTCGTGTATATTTATTGATCAGTGTTCCGAAATAGGAATAATTCGGATTTTTTGTTTTCTTACTGAGATTTTTTCGTGATGATATATACATATTTTGATCGAGAATTTTTTAATGAACATTTATTCTCTGAATTTTTTCTTGACAAATTCGAATGACCCGAGGTCTGCAAAATTTCTTGGCATTTTTCACTTGTTAGATTTGATCCAACGATGATAAAGAATTGAATATATCCGTATTTTATATAAAAAATGGCAAACACAATTCAAAATCGATTCATTAAAAGAACAAATTTTCAAACTTGTAGCTAAGAATGATAAATTTAGATGGGAGAATGCTGAAGTTCTCGAATTTAGAAGTGAGAAAGATTTGCTTATGGCTAGAATAATAGAATTAGAATGGATCATAAAGGAAAGTGTTAAGAATAAAAAGTGAAGTTGGATAGAGAATTCTGAACTTAAGAGTAAAGTAACAAAATCAGAACATGATATTGAAGAGATTAAACAGAAACAAATTACACCTAATATTTCAGAACTTCATGCTGATATGACTAATAACGCTTCAAATTCTGATGTATATCAAGAGACAGAGACTCGATGTGGTTTAGAGAGCCTTGCTCTGCATTACCTAAATCATTAGAGGAAAAGGAAATAGATTAATTCCTAGATGAGAGGAAAAAAGAAGACATTACCACCGCAGTTAGCAAAGGGAATTGGAAAAAGAAGCTTAGATCCCAAGATATTTCTTCAGAACTATTATGCAATCTGAAACCATTAACAATCGGAGAAGCTTACAAATCATGTGACTGAACAACCAAAATTCAGAAACAGACGAAAGCATTACAACCACTTCCTCTATTCCATTGATTCATATCTCTAGCCACTCCGTGACTGCCTCCAGCAATTTAAAAGATAAGATAATTGAGGAAGTTGAATCTTTACTGGAAACTGAGACCAAGGTAAGTATATCTACGGAATCTCATGTTTCTGATTCATCTAGTTCGAAGCCATCCCCCCAAAAAAATCCCAAAATTAGACACAAAGTATCTTGCTCTGTAGAAGTAGGTGTATCATCCAATCCAACTCATAACCATGCTTACTTTCGTAATAAGATATTGTGGCAATATTCTGATTTATGAGGGGTCATTATGTCCAATATGTAAACTAAATCATGGATAGGAAAAGTGTAAAAGGTAGATACGAAGCTGGATCCTATTTCATTATATGTGGAAATCGAAATAACAGTATAAACCATAAAGTTGTCCAAGTATAAATTCTCTGGTTGTAAGTTAGTTAACTATATTTATTTTTTTAATTGCTATTTCTGAATACGCACAGGATGTTCAGCACGTAAGTATACTTGTTATATTAGTGAGACAAAGACACAACTCATACTTAATTTGAATTTGTGATTATATAAAACAATAAACATGGATAAAGCCTTAACCCCTGAATATTTGAACTGGCATGCTAAATTGGTTGATTCATCAAGTCATTTGACAGATAAAGATGATTGTGAAAAGAATGGAGTGAAATTATTTAAAGAACAAAATGGTTGTATTTTAATTGTAGATTTTCTATTACAATGATATATATCATATGTTAATAGTTAAATAAAAAAAAAAGGAAAATAAAAATAAATAATGAAAAAAAAAAATCATCAAACATATAAAAAATTACATACATTTACAAAGAAAAAATTTATGAAATTTGGAAAATAAAATATATATAAAAATTAAAATCAAAAAAGAAATATGAAAAAATATGAAAATATGATAAAATTGATTATTTTACACCCCAACACCAACCATTCTATTTATAATAAAATAATATTTTACAGATTTTTTTTTACCATTCTTCAGCATCAACAAACTCATCATCATCATCATCAGAATTGAAATTAGATTCATATTCGCTAACATCATGATAATATTCATCACCATCACCATCATCATCATTTACTCCATCATTAGATATAATTACTTTGGGTATTATTATTTGATCTTCTATATTATCATTATTATTATCATTATTATTATTGTTATAATTATTATTGTTCAATGTATTTAATGATTTATTATGATTGTCATGATTATCTAATTTATTTTTTCTTATATCTATGAGTTTATCTTTCTTTTCATTATCAATAATAATTTCTCTAATTTCTCTCGGTATTTTTAATATATCATCATCTCCAATATGATTGTTGTCATCATTAATATCATTATTATCATTATTATTATTATCGTTCTTAGGTTGAATAAATTCCAACTCGAATTCCGAATTATTTGAATTATTCATTAAAAAGTTGGTAAAATCTTCACTATCAATAGTAGTTGATCGGGATAATGTAGTACGACTAGAATCAGATGTTGATGATACATCACTTGAATAAGGTATTGAAGATGATGATGATTTGCTTAATAGATTTAATGATACTGCTCTTGCATTCCTTTCCGTTAATCTTTTTTCTGAAAATCTAATACTTGTAATTTTATTAGTTGAATTATCTCTTTCTAGATTATTTTGATTGATTCTATCTTTATTGTCTTTAATATGTTTATTGTATTTATTGTCTTTATTATCTTTAATATGTTTATTGTCTTCTTCATCTCCATCATCTTCACCATCTCCATTATCTCCATTATCTTTATTATCTTCATTATGATCACCTTTATTAAGAGGATGAGAAGGAAGAGGTTTATTTAATTGTTCAACACCAACTCTATACATACTATTTCTATGTTGCCAATAATTACTATTGTCCATTACGGTAGCACATAAATCCTTTTCCAATATTTCATGATAACAAACTAATCGACTCAATTCTAAACAAGTAAGTTTAAGTTTTTGAGATATCATAGTTGCGATTTGTATTATACGATCTCTAGTGGAAGCTTTATATGGAATCATTAAAATAAGATTATTTCGAAATCTAATTTCGATTTGAAGTTGTGAAGTAAGATTTGATATTCTTTCCTGAAGTTCGTCAATTTTTGACTATTAAAAAAATTTATTATCATTAATATTATTAGATCTTATAAATGTTTATTAATAATTAATAATGATTATTAATAATGATTATTAATAATGTTTATTAATAATTAATAATGATTATTAATAATGATTATTAATAATGATTATTAATAATGATTATTAATAATGATTATTAATAATGATTATTATTATTATTATTATTAAAAAATAAAAATAAAAACTTACTCGAAGTAAATTAGCTCTACTTTGAGAATCTTTACTATCATCAAATTTAAATCCAACATGTAAATTCTTTTTATGACCTTCTTTATTCTTCTTATTAATATTATTTCGAATATTTCTTATTTTTAATCCAGCAGTTCTAAATGTTGCAGCATAATTAATTTTCACTATCCAATCATTCATTTCACTTTCATTTTCAGCTTGAAATAAATATTGATGACCTTTAGGACATACAAGTCGAAATACATTAGGATATTTCATATAGTTCTTATCATATACCGCAACAGATTCTGCGGTCATTAATATTATATCAGGTCGTAGTGTTGGTAATTTTTTGGATTTCTATATATTTAAAATAAATATTATTATTATTAATATTATTACAAATTATTATTATTTTATAAATTAGAGATATTATTAATAATTAGAAATATAATTATTTATAAGATCCGAGAATAATAAATAAAAAATAATTCATACCTCGGGATTCTTTAATTCATTCATTTGAGTATTAAACCAAATTTCATCTTTAAAGAACATCAATTGACTTCCACTTAATATTACACCATATTGTTTCCAATTACGTATAAAATTTCCAGTCCTTTTACCATCAATCATATCAACTTTTCTACCTAATTTACCTCCCTTTGTTATTTTTAATAAGAAAGTTCCATCTTTTTCATTTTTATCATCTTCATCATTATCATTATTATTATCAACATTATTATTATTTTCATCATCATCAACATTATTATTATTATTATTATTATTATTTTGATCATTATTATTATCATTATTATTATCATTATTATTATTATTATTATTATTATTATTATTATTATTATTATTGTTATTGTTATTGTTATTATTATTGTTATTATTAATATTTTTGGATCTATTTTGTACTCCAATAACTCGAATCGATTGAGCAGAAGAAAAAGCACGATGTAAATCTCCCACATCAAGTGATTGTAAAGTTCCTATATATGAATAAGGATTTTCCATTGGAACTATGTCTTCAATATTAGGTTTAAAATCCGTAGGTAATTTCGTTTGAATCACCCAATAAGGATCATTCCTATTGCGTATTGATGATTTTCTCCTATCTTTTAATGATGAGAAAAGTTTTAATGTACGGTGATCAGTTGGTGATTCAATTATTGATTGCCCATTTACATCTGTATCATCTTCTGCATATATAAATTGAGTAAATGTTACATTATCATAAAGAATCTATTAATTAATTAATAATATAATAATAATATAATAATTGATTTTAAATGATATATTAGTAATTGATTAATGGTTTAAATTAATAATTTTCTTAATGATATAAATTAATAATAATTACTTCTAATATCTCTGGTTGTACACCTTCAATTCGTGTATTCTTTACAAATTCATCTTTAGACATTTTACGTTTAACATTTTTATTAAATGCATCAGTATGAAGCATCAATAAGGAAAATGCAAGGATATATGGTATATCTAATTTTTAATTAATTAATAATAAATTAATAATTAATTAATATTAATTAAAAATTAATTAATAATTAATTAATATTAATTAAAAATTAATTAAAAATGATTAAAATAATTAAAAATAATTAATAATTATTAAATAATAATAATGATAAATAAATAAATAAATTATTATAATTAATTATTATTATTATTATTATTACCTGAAGAAGAATATAAATCTGGATTCAATTCATGATATCTTTTTGAAAAAGCTTCTATTACACGATCAATTTGTTGAGTTTCTTTGGGAAGATGACATTCCATTAAAAATTTCCTTTATATAATAAAAAAAATAATGTTATTTATTTGTTATATTATATAAATACTATATAAATAATATATAAATATTATATATAAATATTACATAAATATTATATTTACCTTAAAGCAATATCAATTGGATCATTTTCAAAATCAAAGATTTCCATATAAACTTTAAGAGCTGATTGATAAAATGCGGTTGGTCTATTAAAAAAAAAAAGTTAAAATTAAAAAATGTCAATATTAATATTATAATTATATAATAATTACACAATGAATAATAAACATATAAATTATATAAACAACATATAATTATATAATAAACATATAATTTATATAATCATCAAATAACTAATTTATTAACCTTTTAGCTAACATAGTGGCTAATTTTGATTTTGAAAGAGTGTATTGTAATCTCTCAAGATATTGTCTAGGTGTCTCAGTACTAGAAATATTAGAATTATCATCATCATCATCATCATCATCATTATTATTATTATTATTTTTATTTTTATTGTTATAATCCGGTAAATTTGTACAAGATTTAGTTGCTGTTATTGAATTTATTGAATTTATTTCAATAACATCAGTAAGTGTGTTGGATATATTGGGCGTAGTTATCATTGGAGCTGATTCCATACGTTTAAGGTAAGGTTTCTTTTGATTCTTTTCTGAATTATTATTATTATCACTGTTATTATTATTACCGTTATTATTATTATTACTGTTATTATTATTATTATTATTATTATTATTATTATTATTATCAAATATTGAATAATCTCCACCATTTAATAAATGACTATAACGATTCTTAATTTTATTTGTTATTGTTGATGTTGTTGATGATGATGAAGACGGTTTTATTGTAGATATTGAAGAAGGTAATGATGTTGAAGGTGATGATGATAATGATGATGATGATAATGATGAATAAGATTCATCTAAAATTTCTTTTTGTGGTAATTTTATTGTTGTCATTGTTGTTGTTGTTGAAGTTTTAGTTAATGATGATGGAGCAACCTTATTATTATGATGATGCATATAATTGGATGATGTTGATTTTTTTAATTCATCAGCTTTACTAATAATATTATTATTATTAATACTATTATTAATACTACTATTACTATTATTATTACTATAATTATGATCAAATGGTGATAAATTTAAATCACCAAGATCAATTTGAAGTAGTCCATTTTCACTTTGAGAATTATTGATTTTAAATGTAGTGTTCACTGCGGTAGTTGTGATTTTTGTTATGGTTGTATCTTCGTCTGTAGTTTCTTCTGTTGTTGAAGATTTAGTTTCCGTTATTGTCGGTTTAACGATTGGTTTATTCTTATTTTTATTATTATTATTATTATTGTTGTTGTTGTTGTTGTTAATGTTGTTGTTATTGTTATTATTATTATTAATATTATTATTCTTACTATTACTATTACTATTATTATTCTTACTATTATTATTGTTGTTGTTGTTATTATTATTTTTAGAATTGAGAGGTGAGATTGGAGAAATTGTGTGTTTATTGGTTCGATTAATTGGTGAGAACATATTATTTATAAATTGTCTTTAATTTAATTAATTGATAATGGAATCGATTAATTTATTGATGAGATGATTAATAATAATTGTTGAATTTGATAATTGATGATAAATTGATGATAAATTGATGATGAAAAAAGATCAATAAATATAAATTAATTAAAAGAAATGTTGATTTATATAAAAGTTGAGAGAATAATAATAATTATAATTTAAATGATTGAAATAATTGAAATAATTGAATTTGTTTGAAAAATTGAAGAATTATTTGGTATAGGTTTACTAATAATAAAATTTAAAAGGATCGTCAAAATTAAAAAAAAATAATATATATATATCGTTGATATTGACACTAGATATTGATATTTCAGGACAAACTGAATACCGTTATCTTTATTATTATTATTCGGCAAAAAAAAAATGATGTTTTTTAAGATATATATATAAATAAAAAGAATTGAAAGATGAAAAGAAATAAAGTTTGAATGTTAAAAAACGTAAAATTAAAATTTAATTTAATTTTATGTTATACAACATATAAATAAAATTTTTAATTCCTATTTTTTTATCCCGTGATATCAACCTTTGAAGAATTTCTTTTAATTACGTACTACCAGTGATTTTATTACGAAAAAAAATAATAAAGATAGCAATCAAGATATTATTTTTAAATGAAAAGGTTAAATTTTATTGTTACCATCAAATTTCTTAAATTTTTGTATATTTGTTACACCTAAAAGGGAACAGCATAATTTATATTTTGATCGAATTTTATAAAGCAATTCTAAAAATTCTACATTTTTTTGATTTTCATTAGGAAATGTTGAAATTAATTCTCGTAATGATAATAATTGTTTAATCAACCTTTTATAGATAGATAGATAGATATAGATGGATATATATAGATGGATAGATATAGATGGATAGATATAATGATTTTATATAGTAATAATTTATATAATAATAATTATATATTAGTAAAAATAATTAAAAAAGAATATCATTGTAAAAAAAAAAAAAAAGAGAAATAATAATAATTCACCTTTCATTTGTTGACTTCTTATTCCATCCTTTTTTTAAGATTTTTATCCACATTTCAGCTACACCATCATAAAATCCTATTTCTTGTAATAATTCAAATCCTTTTTCACAACCAAGTGTTTGACCTTCCAATTCTCCTGCTTTAATTCCATCTTTTATTCCTCCTTCTTTACCTATCTCTATAAACCTTTTTATATTATATTATATTTAAATTAAGAATATGTAAATGTATCATGTATATTAAATACAGATTATATATTTATTAATATTATAACTTACATTCTTTCAACGTTTAATAAATCATCAAGTTCTAATTCTGTTTTAAGTTGAACCATATTTTTTCTATTTTTTTTTTCATTTTTCTATTTTTTCTATTTTTAAACAGCCATACATGTGATTATTCGCTGATTTATATGAGATTACATAATTATGACTAAGACGAAAGAAATTCCCAATTTTTATTTGCAATTATCGTAATCGTCCATCCTTCGGCAACTCTTAACTCTTTTCGAGTTTTCTAAAAATATAAAATATCATCATAACAATAATTATTATTATAAGTCATATCATCACCTTTGAGCTTTTATTTTTATTATTTATTACCTGTAGATATATTTTCAGTAATACAAGTATATTTTTTTATTTGAATAACAATAATAATCTTATTATTATCATTATGGTCACAGATATAAATTGTTGAAGGATTCATTATGTCGTCATTTATTAAATAATTTTTTATTAAATAATTTTACTGAATATTTAATATTTAATAGAATACCGTGCCCGATCAACAAAATTATTTTTGATTTAATCATCCTGGAACGACGAGTGAGTTTACCTTCCATATATAATTTATATACAATTTATATATAATTTATATATAATTTATATAATTTATGTAATTTATATAATTTAGATTATTTATAAATGATTTATATAATTTAGATTATTTAAATTATTTAAATTATTCGAATTATTCAATTCTTTCAGAATTTTGTACAACATTTACGTTCTATAAAATTACCTGAGAATCTTTTTTGGTAGAGAATTCTTTTATCGAATACCAATTTGCTTTCGCTGGTAAATTTTTATTACTTGTTTGGCCACCAAAATAGAAACTTGAATTCTATTTTAAATATAATTATAGATATACGTTTTGCTTTAGACTTTCTTATTTTTCTAAAAAAAAAAAAAAAAGAAAAAAGGGTATAAATATTACCTCCGGGAGCACAATGGTTCTTTCCAATTTCTTTGATTTTGAAATAGGTTTTTTAGTGAATGGATCAAGTTCCCCTGATGCAATTCCAATTGCAATGATAGGTTCGATTTCCCTATTATGATTAAAAATTCAAATCTAATATTAAGAATATTTAAGGGCAGGGTTGATTTCAATAAATTTCATTCATTTTTAAAAGATACGGTCCAATGTAATCATTATCAGTCGTGATGTCCAATTCTTCAGGGATAGGATTTAATGTGACAATACTTCTGGTGTCAAGGTCAAACACGCGCTGATACAAAAATACCAATTCTGCTCGTTTAAAATTATTCAAATAATCAGGTGGTACTACGGTTTTACCGTTATTTACTAATAACGTCAAAACCTATTAAAATTTTTATTAGTCTTTGCACGTGTCTGTATAATTTTTAATAAATAAATTTCTCACCTTTTCAACACTTCTATATTTCTTTACATACTTATAAGCAGATTTTAATCCAATTCCAGAGATTGATTCCAAATAATCACAACCAGATAACATTGTCATTTCACGAAATTGTTTATCCGTCCAACCAACCATATTTAATTCTTGAACTTTTCCGAAATTATCTCGACATATTTCGATACCACCCCCATCTGAATCAAGTTTGTAAATTACCTAGAAATTTAAATTTAAATATTTTTTAAATTTAAATTCAAAAAGAAAAAAAATGTTAATTATTACATTACATACAGTTTTACATCCGAATACAAGGAAATCGGAATCTTCGGTAATTATAGCACTAATTCGATTTTTCTTTTCAAGATATGCTAATTGTGCATCAGCTTCGTAAGGGGCTACAACATAATCGATATTTTCTGCACGTAATGCCTACATATTATTATTGTTGTTGTTGTTGTTGAGAAGAAATTTAATTAATTAATAGATAGAATGGATTAATTATTTATTTATATTATTATTATTATTTTTATTTTTATTTTTACTTGAATTAAACTGTAAGCCATTTCCGGGGTAACATCAACACCTCTTGCTAATATATTTAGAGCATCCTCATATCGTCCCTCTTTATAAAGTTTTTGACCTAATTTACGATATTCTTGACGTTTCCTTTTTATAATTAATTTTTTTTTTTTTATTATACAATAATGTTTTACATTTTTTAATCAGGTAGATTTATTATATAAAAGAATAGATAGATAAATATATATAATATCTTACTCTTCACGTTTAACATCTGTTTGGAGTTTTGCAGGTAAGGATCCACCATCAAATACCAAGAATGGACGTACATCGAAACTTTGTAACATTTTTACGCGTCTCATGCAGAAATCAACATATCTATAAGAAAATTGGAAAAAATTTTCTTAACCAATTCAATTATTTTATTTAAGTAATTAAAAATAATTGGAGGAAATATAAAAAATGTAAAAATATATATATATATATATATATGCGCGCACTTCGTAGTAGGTTGGTTCTGGACCAACTCGAAAATACAAGTATGAATACCCTTATGTAACCAACAATATGCGTCAACACCAACTGTTTTACCAGCATATTTCGAGATAGAAATTTTTGTCTGTATAGACTTAAGAGACTGAAGAAGACATTGAATACCCATTATTATAATGAATTTTGATTTTTTTTAAAAAAAAAAAAAAATTAAAAAATAACAAAGAAAGTCTGTTGCTTATAAACTTTTTTTATCGTATGTTGTTTCACGTGATTGAATAAGAATTTCGCGTATTTCGCGTAATTTTCGTTTTCGCGTTTATTTTTATTTTAAACTATTTATTCTAAACTTTATTCTATTTCAATTGTTTCATATAACGAGAATTCAGTCAAAAATGTGAAGCATTCACGTGAGGGTGGAATTTTTTCTGGTGATTTGTTCATCACGGGGTGTTTGACGTAAGTAAAATAGTTTTCTATTAAAGCGAAAGCAAAGATCGTCTTCGATGCGTTTGTTGGTTTTTTTTTTCTTGGTGTTGTGGTATTCTAACATTACTCAAGCAAGAGCATCTTCTGGTTGTTCTTGTGATGATTTCTGGTTCGGATAAAGTTTATTCAGTTTCAATATATTACACTACAATGTACTGTGTTGTTCAAAGATACTCCGAAAAAAAAGGGCCAACTTTTGGAAAATCTAATCTCATCACCATTGTTCACTGGTTCACCAGATTAATAGATACAAATATAAAAAAAATAAATATATTTTGTACCTCTCGCGATGATTTTTTAGATGATAATTTGGAATGGGTAACTCCTAAAGATAATGCTCAACTTAAAATATTCCCAAACATTGGTCGCGGTGAATTTGCAAAAGGAATTGAATGGAAATAGATTTGAGATTTGTATCAAATACTCTTAAAATAAAAGTATACTGTTCGAAGGTTGGCAATGGATATACCGTATTATGATGATTATATTGATCATGATCCCAATAAAGAGTGGAGAGAAATCAAAATGTATCTCAAAAAAAAAAATTTTAGAGTTTCAACTCTAAAGAGAGTTCGGTTAACCAACAGTCAAATCTCTCAAGGATCATTATTTCAAGATATCTCCAAGTTGGCCGAGTTCACAAGTATTTTATTTATCACTTGGTTGCTTTAGCATTTTTATCAAAAAGGAGAAAACAAAGGATCTGTGAATCATATTGATGGAAATTCTGCTAACAACAAAGTGTCAAATTTCAAATAGTATATATCAAAGGAAAACATTCAATATGCTGTGTGCCTCAATCTTCGGGATGGCTGGATGTGCCAACGTGCTGTTAAGCAAATTTTTGATGATGGCTCTACCCATCCCTAGTTGAAGGGCTTGAAGGACTGGAATTGTCAATTCAAGTATCGTCAGGGTCTTCGAAATTATGCTGGAAGGTGTTGTTGAGAAAACGTAAATACAATGACATATGATAAACGTTAGTAATGTTAATGATGTACTCAACTAGAAGTTACCCTCTCTTTGAAAAATAAAAACCCTCTTTTTTTTAAATTATCAAAGGAAGTTTAACTGTCTTTTTTAGCTTCTGCTATAAAGCATCAGCAGAAGGTTTACAAAGTGCATCAGAAACATCAGAAACGTTAGAATAAAAATATCACTGGTACCTGCACTTTGTAATCTATTTTTAAATCACGCCATATCATAATAAAAAATGGACTTATTTTTTATTGTAAATATATACGCTGCTGATAAAGATTAACTAAATTATTCATCCAAATGCAGGAATGATATTGAAATGATGATGATTTCGAAGATAGATGTAATAAATGTAAATGACATATATATTCAAGACTTTATATCTCACCTGATTTATCTCGAAGAACTTAACAGCAAAAGGCTTCAAAACTTCGTACCTTCAATACTAGTTTCTCTCAAAAAATGGAACTTATTTTTTAAACATTTATACGAAGTAAAATTATATTTCCTTTTTTCAGTAATATCGTAATGAACATCTTAAAATAAAAATAATTTCAAATAAAGATAATTTCAATATGTACTTCATTCAAATTTTATTATTTTATTCATTAAGAAAATATTACAAATTACAAAAATATACATGAAATTTGAAATTTTCATTTTTCTATTTCCGCTTTTCTATTAATAAAAAATCTAAAACACTTACATTATCGTTACTTCCTGGTTTCCTTGTTTGCGTTAAAAACCTACAAAATAGAGTAAACCTTCTTTCTTCTGTACCTACAAAATAGAGTAAACCTTCTTTCTTCTGTACCTACGAATAGAAAAACGCGTACCTCAATACAAGTATATCGTCCTAATAATATGGAAAATAAAATAAAAATAAAGGTTAATATTTTTATTCTTTGATATTCTTTAATAATAATAGTATAGTAAACTTGAAATTAGAAAAGCGGAAAAAAGAAAAAAGAAAAGTTAGGACAGAAAAAGTGGAATGGAGATAACGTTTATAATTTTCTTATCAGGATCGACATGTGACTCTGTGATTATCGAATATATTTTAGCAAAGGTATCGTTTTTGATAGATCTATGGTTTTCCATCCTCCGGATTTCATTGGTCCATAGTCTTGCCGGTGATCAGAATTATTTCACGTGCATGTTTCATAAATAAGGTTTTCCTATGCATCAAAACAATAGGACCATCGATCTATCAAAACGTCAAATGTAATGGGGGAATCTTAACCTAGACCCGTTACAATTTGATCAGATTGTCACATTACGACATCTATATTAATATTATACATTATAGCACATTTCGTCAAAAGTAAGATTTTCTTTAAAGCGAGTTCAAATGTCCAAGATAATGTTTGTACATTGGATTCTATCTGATTCTGCAATCAGAATAATTATCAATAATTTTTATTTTTGTGAAAGTTCCGAACACGTAATAAGGTATGAATATTTTGGTTGACGGTGCAGAGTTTGCACGGGAGTTTCGGTATATGCAATTCGTCTGGAATCTTTGAAATATTTTGACTCAATAGATAATTTAACGAAAGCCCCCCAAAATCGCGGAAATTGGACTTGTTTTTGAAGGTGGGCGGTTCTTTAGGCGCCTCCTCAGTTGCCATTTTGGTATATGTATACCTGAAAACTTTGCCAACATTTTCTCTTACATTCGTAATATCTTAACTCAACTTGAATTGATATTACGCCCGAAACTTCGCAAATTCTTTTACGCATCTCGATTTAATAAAAAAATAGGGGTATGTTTATAATTAAGTCGCACAAAAGTTACCTTGTTACTTTAATTATTGTAGAGGATCTACACTGTGGGTGTACTATTGTACCATGCGTAAGATATGTAGTACTATTTTTCTTGTTTATAATACAATGCTCTCCTCATCTCTGTATCTCTGTTAGTAGATTATTCTCTGTAATGAAAATAATCCACTAACATTAAGCTATGTCTTCTTCATCTCCTTTAGCATGGTCGCTGAGTTCAAATTTTTCCACAGAAGAAAACCCCGTTTCAGTATGGTCCTATGGTTTAAAACCGGGTTATCTGCTAAATGGAAACTTCAGCTTATTTACAAACCCATTGTGGGACTCAAAAGGTAGCGGAGTTGTTGCTTGGTTTACGGAAGACAATAAATGGAATGCAGATTGGTTGGGTATTTATTACAATTCCAAACAAACATCTACTCTTTTAGTGTACGGTAGCAATATGACTTTCACTGCTCACGGTGTTTGTATGCACCCTGGCAATAATGACAAAGAATTTGCTGTTGTTAGATTCACTGCACCAGTAAATGGAACATATACTATAAGCGTAATATTCACACATGTTGATGACAATGTAATTCAGTCAAATACATATACAGGCGCATATGTAATGTATAACAATGAAATTCTTTGGGAGGAAGTTATATTCGGTTATGTCTCAAAATCATTCATAACAAATGGCGACGGGATTGAAGTAAGAGAAAACGATAAAATCGATTTCCTTTTAGGCGTAGGTAAAGATGGTACATTTCATATGACTGATGTCAATGTGGATATCTCAGCCCAACAATCAGTCATCAACTCATCAACCCCAACCATCAACTCATCAACCCCAATCATCCCATCAACCCCAACTAATGTAATTGAAAATAATAATAGAAAAAATTACTTGGTTGGTGGATCAATTGGATTAATATTGGGCCTCTTTATTGGAGTTTTATTTTTTTTTTATTATCGATATCGTAAGAAAAAAGATAATATAATATTGCTACCTAGCACCCAAATGAACGTTTAATTTTATTAATTTTATATTTAATGTATTTATTGTTAATAATTGTATTTATAATTGTAATAGTGGAATACTCATTTATGGAATTGCGTAAATTTAAAACTAGTTCCACTTTTTAAATATAATAAAGTTTGCCTTGTACTATCTGGGTTTCATATCGCAAAACCCTTAGTAATGAATTCAAAGCTAAATTCAAAGAATTGGAAAAATTCGAATTCGGAGTAGGGTAATATCAAAAATATTGTAGTTGATTTAAAAACGTGAGTGGGATCTTATTATTGTACAGGTTGAAAGTGTTCTTCGACTTGATTTTCAAGGAGGTCGTTCCTCTATAGCAATTTTAGATGAAACCAATATCATTATACGTCAAATATCTAGTGAGTTCATAATAAATTTAGCCACTCACGTTGTTGATATGCAATAATTCAACTTTAACCTTCTTAAAATATTATCGAGACGAGATATTGATAACAAATACCAACCACGTAGAGGTGAAAATATTAAACTTCTTTATGATCTAGATAAAAGTTCAGAAGAGGTCTTAGAATGCTCAAAAAGGGTAAGCATGTTGCATTTGTTATGACATCCTATAAAAAAGCTCGAGCCTTAATTGATCAAGCATCTAAATTGCAAAAACCTGATGATTCGCTTAAATTCTTTAATTAAAAATACACCTAACTGGATAATTTTTACTTCCATATATAGAATAAATCGAGTAATGAAATATCCCAAAAATCCAAAATCAATTTTGAAATTGTGATAATTACATTCTATATATCAATTCAATTTAATAAATCTATTAAACCAATTGTTTGTTCTTATCTATATTTTATCCAAATATTTTATTATTTTGTTAAATAGTGCTTGGCATGGTAATGGAAGAAAAGCTAGTTGGTGGAGTCTAGTATTACTTGTGATTTATAATCCTGAAACAGAAACACTTGAGAGTGTTCGCAAGTGTATGTCAGGATTTAATAATCAATTTTACATGGAAATGAAATTAAAAATATTCTAGAAAAAATGAAACAATCTTGATACATAAAAAATCTTATTATAACGTGGTGGAAGGATTAACACTAGATGGTAAATATTCATCAAATACATATTAATTTTTTAATAATGATTTTTAAACCATTTTTTTTTTAAATTTTTTGAATTGAAGATCAAGAAATTTGGAAAGTAAAAGGTTTGCACAGGCTTATTTTGAAAATTTCGATGGTTATCTTTTTTATGTTTTTTTGATTATTTCTATATTTTTACATTTTAAATAAAAAAAAATAGCTGATATCATGATTTCACCTATTCACAAACCAGCGTTTGGTAGAGTTGATCCAAATAGAGGCTTGTCATTGAAATTTCCAAGAGTACGAGAAGACAAATCAATAGATGATGTTACTAAGAGCGATCAAAATTTTGGAAATGTTCTTTAAGCAGGTTAAAGAACAAAAATCTCACGAGATTACAAAAATTGAAGACACTAAAATAAATGAAAGTGATGAAGAATTTATAATTGATTTACAGATAATTTATATTAATTAGTTTTGTAAATGTTATAATTTCATGATGATAATATGATGATTTATTTTAAAACAACAACAACAATTTTTTCAAAGATTAAAAATCGTCATATTCATCATCTTCCGCTGGTCGTTTGTAACCTGCATTCATTTTTACTTCTGGATCTTGCGTTTCTTCTACATCTTGCATATCGTAATCTGTTTCATCTATTGGTGAAATATCCTTCTTAGGAATATTATCATAATCATCATCATCATTATCATTATTATTATTGACTGGAGTGTTAATACTACTAGTAGGCTGAACACCTGTCATCACATCCTTTTCTGTTGGTAAGCTGCGCGATGTCTCATTATTCCCTTCTAATCGTGAAAATGTTGTGTTATTATGCTCTTGCATATATTGTGGTATTGGTGGTGGTGGTGGCGGCTTATTGTTATTTATTATTGAATAAAATGATAATGATATTATTATTAATATTAAGAATAAAATATCTTTAAATATTCGTTGAGATTATTTAATTTTATTTGAAAAAAAAAGATTACCTCGGGTATAAGTTGAAAGTTTATAGCTGTTAAACAATGCCTGTCAGGGGGTAAACGTAATCCATATTTTAAGGGTACTGGTGGTAATGGTTCTTTATTCTGTTCTTTGGCGAGCTGTGCTAAAAACTAATATATATATATCAATAATATATAAATATTAATTATATTTATATCCATATTAAAAAAAAAAAAAAAGATCAATCATGGTTTAATCAATTGTGAATACTTCTTGTTTGGGTGGTGCAATAAATGAATGGTTGATACGGCCTTGTATCGCTAGTTTAACATCATCAATATCCATTTCATTTTTTCCCGTGTGTTCGGCATATGCAGAAGCATCTTGAATAACATCAATAGTATATCCTATTAAAAATATTATAAAAAAAAAAAAGGTATTTTATAATTAGAAAGAAAAAAAGATAATTTGATGAATTTAGATGACACAAAAAATTTACAAAAAAGACTTTTATTTGTAAACGTTTTATAAAATATAAAGATATACTTAACGGTGAGCAAATTCTAATAGTTGTTGAACTACTTTCGGTTCAAATTCTTCAACTCCGGCTGAGCGTAGAATTAGTTCCATTACTTTTGAATCGCGCGGTATTTTATCTCTTTGAGAAGATACTTGTGGGTTGCTCGAAGCTTGAGTTGTCATCCTTATGAATTAAATTATATCAAAATTTTATTTTTTATTTTTGGAAAAGAGAGAGGCAGAAATTACAATATTTTTGCTGAACCCTGCTGATTCGATTGGGCGCAGTAAAATTACACCACGATTGATGATTGGTCTATCTTTGTATCTCAAGTAAATCAAAATAATTCTTTCTTCAGTGAGACTTTCATCGAAGTAACATACCGATAATACCAATTTGAAATGCTTTTACTCCATTACTTAGAATATTAAAGAAATTCAAAATAAAAAACAATGTCTATTGAATTTAACTAATTTAACTCGAAAAACAGTTATATCCTTACCAAGGTACATTGTAAGTGAAATTTTAATGAATAGAATTAGTCAAATATGTTTTACAATTGCATTTTTTTTTAGTTGGTTCGAAACTTACCGTTAAGGTAAATTATTAAATATTATAATAATAATAATAATATTATTATTATTATTATTATTTATTTATTATTGTTATTATTTTTTCTAAGCCTCCCTTTGACACTTCATGGTCTCGAAGGCCGATATGCAACTGCTTTATACACAGCAGTCACCAAGTCAAATACTCTACTCATACCAATGTTGAGAATGAAATTAAACAGTAATTAACAGGGATAGTAAAATTCGTGCTTTACTTAAAGATCCTTCTTTGAATCGGAATAATAAGAAAACGTACTGTTCAAGAACTTCTTAAACAAGGGAAATATTGTGATACCTCCAAATTTGTTTGATTTATTGAAGGTAACACAATTAAAAGCAGAACTTAATAAAAGCAAACTTTTTGATTCATCTCATATATGTGTTGTTCTGTATTTATTCACTATATTATTTCTTAGACGAATCCCTCAATTCTAGGTGGCTTTGATGGCTTGATGATTAAAGATAAAACTATTGATTTATCTGAACTTAATAAATTATTAACAGGTAAGATTTATTATTAATATTATAATTATAATATCCTATGATCAATTAAATTGAAATGTTAACTTATTTTTTTTTTAACTTTATTTTATAGAAAATTTCTTAGATTGCACATAGTGTATGTACACGGATATTAATTTTCAAATATGTGTAACATGCCAATTTTTTATAAATGAAAAATCAAACCCTTGCTTATGGTTAGGGTTAGGGTAAGGGTGGTTTGAGAATATAGTTTATATTAAGGAATTTTTTTTTTTTGCTAGAACCCAAAAGGTCATTTCATAATCGAAATTTTAAGATAAAGACAATTTTTTTAAAGAAAGCAATAATTATATGTTACACCTGATTATACAATCTAATTGGCTTCTATAATACCTGTGTATGTACATATAGAAATTCTCTATTTTATATTCCCAATAGATATTCTTTAATGTTATTTTAATGTAGATGATTATGTAATTATTACAATTATTTATAAAATTATCATTGCAATAATTCATTTTTTGATTCGTCAAAGATTAATTATCAATATAAAATGTCAAATTTAAAGTAAAAATTTTGATAATACTTCGACAAAAAAATGTATGGTCATCGTCTATTTGTTTTTTTTGTTCTCTTTTTTTGTTATGCATACAAGTGCAAATCATCTTAGATTCTTTACTGGATTATTATTCTCATTAAATAATATTAATAAAAGAAAGTTAATCAACCCTCAAAATTCCAAAATATATTGTTCTTTAACCTTTTTATTATTATTATTATTTGTCGCGGAAATTTTTTACTTTAATAAACGAAATAATAATGTCAATAATGTCAAGAATGTAGTTGCTTTTGCCACAAAAACGACAAAAAAACAAAAATGTACAGGTGGTAAAAAAGGAACGCGTTATTTTGGAAACCAAAAATAAGCGCAGAAATTCCGACAAGGTTGACGAGGTTGACAATATTGATAAAGTTGATAATGCACCAGAAAAAACGAAAGGAAAATCAGTTTTCAAGAATAACAAATCACATAATATTGTTTAAAGGATAGAATCCTTCTTTTATAATAGTATATATATGTATAAGTAGGGTTGTGGTTAGTATAGTATGGCTTCGTACAGTGATAAAATCATGTGATTATGAATGATTCAGATTGTACTACTTGTACGCGTACAGTAATTGATTAATTTTTAGAAGACATTTGATCAATCAAATTGATATTTATGTTTACAATAACTTGACTCCTATAAAATTTCGGGCCTAAAAAAATTGGGGTTGTTTGCGCCTATCTGTACTTTTTTTTACTCTATTTAAACCCTCACTTTTCTTCCCGCTTTTTTTTTTTGTTTTTTCTTAATTTCACTTTCTTACTTTTTTCTTTACTTTTTCCGCTTTTCCTAATCTTTGAATTTATTATAAACATTTTATTATAAATATTAACCATTATTTTTATTTTTATTTTCCATATTTATTAGGACGATATACTTGGATTTGAGGTACGCGTTTTCTATTTTGTAGGTACAGAAGAAAGAAGGTTTACTCAATTTTGTAGGTACAGAAGAAAGAAGATTTAGAAGATTACTGGGATATTGAGGTACGCGTTTTTCTATTTGTAGGTACAGAAGAAAGAAGGTTTACTCTATTTTGTAGGATAATGTAAGTGTTTTAAAATTTATTAATGGAAAAGCGGAAAATAGAAAAAGAAAATTATTTATATATATTTTTTATAATTTGTAATATTTTTTATAATTTGTATATATTTTTTATAAAATTGTAATATTTTCTTAATGAATAAAATAATAAATTTGAAAGAAGTATTGAAATTATCTTTATTTTAAATTATTTTATTTAAAAATGGTTATTACAATATTACTGAAAAAAAAAGGAAAATATAATTTTTCTTCGTATTAATGGTTAAAAAATATGTGTCACTTTTTAGAGAAACTAGTGTTGAGATATGAGTTGTTTTTCGAAGTTCTTTTGCTATTAAATTCTTCGACATTACCACATGAAATTTCAATTGTTAAATAAGGTATAATCCAAAAGGATTATTTTATTAATACACCCTTCAGGCATGACGAAATTTCTATCTATACTTAATTACAGGTATTAACTACTCTGGCTTTTCGAAATACCCTTGAACCCGTTTCTTTTTCATTGCAGCTCTTTCTCAATGTTTACTCTATCCCTCATTAACCCTATAATTATCTTCATTACCCCCTTCAGATTCGACTTTATTTTCTTTAGTGGAAACATTTGTTATGCTGACTGAAATTCGGATTCACTCGTACAAGATATTCCTTCTGAATCATTCCTAAAATGAAAGGGGACGAGTATACCATCACAGTGATCTAATTTCATAGAGATAGTCCTTGAAAGCATTCGTTTTTTTTTTGGATAATAAATGAAATTCGGTAACATTTATTCGCAAATTATATATAAACATATATATAAAATGAATCTAAGCTTGTCACCAAAAAGAGTTCGTTTGGAAATACAAATTCCATGACTACTATCTCCATCTAAGAGTCATATTTTTTTTTTTCGGTATTGATTTCTTTTCCACCTACAAACGTGCATTGCAAATTTTCAACTTCCTTAGTCACTACGAAACACGTATTGTATATGTTTTTTCGGCTCTCCCGGATAAACAAGTAATGTTCCTCAGTTTTTACCCACCTACCAAAACAAAAGAGTTTATCGGCTTCGCGGATGAAAATTTATATCAAAGAGAACACGCGCTATTTTAAGGGGCCAAATATTATGATTTACAATTTAGATCATCATGTCACGTCACGTGAAATTAATAAGATTCAAAAGTTTTTCATTTCGGATTATCTAAAATTTTGATAAAAAAAGTCGAAATGGAATCAGAGACATTCAAACCAAATCCCGATTCTACTACTCCAATGCGTGCCTCATATGAACAACAATGGCTTTTGGACGATGGGACTCCTAAGCATTTAGATCCTTTAGCTAATCGTCCAAGGCGTCTTTCAGATGTAGGAAAAGAAACCATTACAAATAATACATTACCAATAACAAAAAATAAAAGATTTAATAGTGGAACGAATCATGCAACCACAAGTAATAACACTATTCCCGCAAAAAAATCAAACAAAGAAATGACAAAAGCAGAACGTCGTGAACTACAAGAACGTCAGAGGGCTGCAAAAGGAAAAACTGCAAAAACTGCTAATAATGTAGTCACTCCTTCCAAGAAACCAGTACAAGGTTCAATGACAAATTTAGAAGGAGGGGCAGGAGGAACTACTTCTGAAACTTCGGTTACTCCAAGCGCACATTCTGAATCAGGAGTAACTGTTAAAAACATAGATCTTAAACCGAAGGATATTTTACACAAAAGAGATAACAATAAACAGGTTGCCCTCTTTTCACATTTGGAAATTCCTAAAGGTGCAAATACGAGCACAGCCCCAAAAGAAATTCATCCCTCAGTATTAGTTCTAGGTTTACATTTTTCAGAATTTAAAATATGTGGAGCAAATGCTCGTTGTATTGCCACATTGACTGCTCTTCAAAAGGTAATTCCTATTCAATAATATATTATAAAGATTATATATATTTTGTATATAATATATTTTATATAGAGAGAGAGATATATATATATTATTTATAATTAAATTACCATACTTATATTATTATTATTATTATTATTCAGGTGATTCAAGATTACAAAACACCTGAAGGTACAACATTATCTAGACATTTACCCACTCATTTATCACCTCAAATTTCTTATTTGGTAAATGCAAGACCAATGTCAGTGGGAATGGGAAATGCAATACGTCATCTCAAATGGGAAATATCTACGATAGATATTGAAATGTCTGATGAGGAGGTACAATTTTTTATGAAATTTTTTGAGATGTTCGAATATATATATTTATATTTATATATATATTTATTTATATTGAAATAGGCTAAACATTTATTATGCGAAAAAATTGATAATTTTATACGTGATCGTATTACGGTTGCTGATCGAGTTATTGTTGAATATGGATTACAAAAAATTCAAGATGGTGATGTAATATTAACATATGCTAGGTTAGATATAATCTGTAAAAATCATTTCTTATGTATTATTTTATTTTGGAAAGGCAAAAGAAAAAAAAAATAATTCACTTCAATAATTTCCTTAAAATACTATAGATCATCAATTGTACAAGCATTATTGTTAGATGCACACGCCAAGGGAAAAAAATTTAATGTCATTATTGTTGATTCGCGACCAAGACTCGAGGGTAACTTCAATACTGAGTGAACTTGAAATATTTAAGTTATCACCACTAAACAGTTAAAGCGTGTTTTAATAGGTAAAAAACTTTTGAAACGTTTGATGGATGAAGGTATAAAATGTACATATACCTTTCTTCATGCACTTGGATTTGCACTGAAAGATGTTTCAAAAGTTTTTTTGGGAGCTCACGCATTTATGTCTAATGGAGCACTTTATTCTCGAGTTGGCACTGCAATGGTAGCAATGATGGCAAAAGAGAAGAATATTCCTGTCATTGTTTGTTGCGAAACATACAAATTCACGGATAAGGTTCAATTAGATTCATTTGTAATGAATGAACAAGGTAACCGGTAATTTTATGGATGATAGAAATATTTTAAAAACAATAATTTAATAATATCAATAATTTAATAATATCAATAATTTAATAATATCAATAATTTAATAATATCAATAATTTAATATTTAATAATTTAATAATTATTTTCTTGTCAGGAAATCCCGATGAACTAGTTAATATATCTACAACTATGACTCTTAAACCTGGATATTTGGATGAATGGTTGAACAAACCAGATTTAAAACTTTTAAACTTGTTATATGATTTAACACCTTCCAAGTATATTACATTAGTAATAACAGAAGTTGGTATGATTCCGTGTACTAGCGTTCCCGTAGTAAGTTTACAAGAATTTTTCTAATTTTATTTTAATATTATTTCTTAATTTTATTTCTTAATTTTATTTCTTTAATTTTATTTCTTAATTTTATTTCTTTAATTTTAATTTTATTTCATAATTTTTATTTGTCAATAGGTATTGAGAGAATGCAAGTATGTTCCATTTATTTTCATTTATATTATTTATGTTTCATTTTCTATATTTTATTCATTGAATTATATTACTCAAAAAAAAAAATTTTTTTTTTGTTTTTAAAAAAATAGACCCATGCTACAATAAATATTATGTTAAAAATTTTAGTTTCTCAAAATTCATTTTTAATGGTTTGATTATTTTATTTATTTCATTTTATTTTTTATATATGTATAATTTGTATATTTAATTAATTAATTAATTATTGTTTAACGAAAAATTAAAATGTGAAATTAGTAATTATTGAAATGTTTTACCTTTCGCAAATTATGATTGCGATAATGCAAAATATTCAAATTATGTGACACTTTTTTAATACTTCACAAATATTGACAATATAATCAATATAATGGACAATGTTAAATATAGATGATCGGATGAATGACATCATCTCCAATAGTCAATATTACCTAATTTTTAAATCTTGCATACAAAGAAGAGGAGATGAATGAATAGCAGTCGCATGACTCACTCAAAAGGGAACTGTTTGTGTAATACCCGAATAAAAATAAAAACACGGCACAACATATTTCCGTTGCACTATAATTCATTTTGATATTGCAAAAACTAATAATTAGAGTTTTCTCTCCTCTTTAAATTTGAAATAAAATTTTCTATTACACTCAATAAAAAAAATAATGGGTCAAAAAAACTCTCGTACTTCGAAACTTTATGAAAAACGCTCGTCCTCCAGAGTAAAAAACTTTGAAAAAAATGAAACCAAGAAAGGAAATAATGAATTAATAAAAATTACGGCAAAAGACGATGATTATGTTATAACAAGTGCTGACTTGGGCAGAGATCTTTTAGATAAGTTTTCGTGAGTACTCGTTTTTTTATTATGATGTTTTTCTAATATCACGTGAACCATTTCGCAAACGCGTGTTGGATTTCGAAATAATTTTTTTTTTTTTTTTTTTTTCTTTAGTGAAAATTTTGGAGCTGACCCAAAAAATAAATTGGCGTCAAATGCAATTTCTGGAAATGATATGACCAAAGTGTTATTAAATCGTTCGGTAATTGAAATTTTCTTAAAAAGGAAAATCCCTATCATTTACGTCAACAAAATAATTTATATCATGTTTATTATTCTAAAAAGATTACCATCGATAATATTCATGTATTTTCTGAGAAAATTGAATTAGAAGGGAAAGCAACTAATCAAAGATCATCAGGACGTTGTTGGTTGTTCGCTGCCACCAATGTATTACGATTAATTGTTATGAAAAAGTGAGATGATTTTAAATCTAATTTTAAATCTAATTTGATTGGTTTTTCTTCTTTCTTCGTCTTATTTGAGATTATTAAAAATAATTTTTATTATCTTTTTTTTTTTATCCAGGTATAAATTGAAAGATTTCGAATTATCACAATCTTACTTGTTCTTTTATGATAAACTAGAAAAATCAAATTGTAATATGGAAATTTTTTGATTTTGATATTCTTAAATAATATTAAATAATTTAAATAATATTAAATTATTTTTATAATATTTGATTTTGTTTTAGTTTTCTTGGAAAATATGATTAAGCTTTCAGATCTTGAAATTGATGATCGCTTAATTCAATATATGGTCCACGAGCCAGTAAACGATGGTGGTCAATGGGATATGGTAGTCAATCTTTTAGAAAAATACGGAGTTGTCCCCAAATCCGTAAGTAATTCTTGAACAAATATTATTTCAATATATTCCAAAAAAAAAAAAATTATATTGTGAATTTATGTGAGAACAACTTTTTTTTTTTGATTTTATTTTGATTTAAACTTTAGGTATACACAGAAAGTTTTAATTCATCCAATACATCTAAATTAAATTGGTTAGTGATAACTAAACTTCAAGAATTTGCTCATAAATTACGTAAATTACACTCTGCTGGAAATAGTATTTCTGTGTTACGAACTGCAAAGGCTAAAATGATGGAAGAAATTTATCGTATTTTGGCAATTTCTCTTGGTGAACCACCTAAAGAGTTTGACTGGTCTTTTATTGACAAAGATGGGAAATTTCATGAATATAAAGGGTTGAAGCCCAAAAAGTTTTATCAAGAATTCATTAATTATAAGGTAAATAAATATAAATATATATATATATATGAAAAAATAGAAACTGTTATTAAAGGATAATATACCTTTATTAAAATATTTAGGCAACAGAAACATTGTCTCTCGTTAATGATCCTCGTAATGAATATTTTAAACTTTATACTGTCGAATATCTCGGTAATATCCAAGGAGGTTTTCCGGTTCGTTACGTTAACATTCCGATTGGTGAAATGAAAAATTTGGCAATTCAAGCATTACGTTCAGGCAAACCAGTGTGGTTTGGCGCTGATGTTGGAAAACATAGTAATTCTGAATTAGGAATATTGGATAATAGAATTTATGATTACGAATTGGGATTTAATACCAAGTTTCATTTGACCAAAGCTCAAAGATTGCAATATGGACAAAGTTCAATGACACACGCTATGGTATTCACTGGTAAAGATAAACGTTTTTAAATTTTATTTTATTTTTACTATTTTTATTGAATTATTTTATTTTGATTAATTTTTTGTGGATTATTTTTTATTAAACAATGTATATATATTTATAGGTGTTCATCTTGAAAATGGGGAATCAATTCGTTGGAGAGTCGAAAATTCTTGGGGTGAAGATCTTGGTGAAAAAGGTTATTTCGTTATGAATGATGACTGGTTTAGCGAATGGGTTTATCAAATAGTTCTAGAGAAAAAAGATGTTCCCAAGGAGTATGTAGCAATTTTGGATCAAAAACCAAACGTTCTATCTGCGTGGGATCCAATGGGATCTCTTGCTATTTAATCTTTAAACCCTTTAAAACTTTTAAAACGAAATTTTTTTGGGGGATAACTCAATTCTTACTTTATCAATTCTTGGATAAAATTCTTGGAAGGAATAAATCAACTGTGAGAACTTTTTGTTAGGAATTTTTTTTTAGGAACTTTTGGATGAGGTAATAGATATAATCACCTAAATTATATATGAAATTATATGAGATTATATGAATTATTTAATGAAATTATTTATTATATTATGTATTAATATCAAAAAAAAAATAATAATAAAATAATACAAATAATTTTTTGTTTAAAGAGAAATTTATCCGAATTTAATATTTAAATAAACCAAAATTATATTTGGACTTAAGTTTTATGTCTAGACCTCTTTTTAGGAATTGTTTGACTTGAATTTGGATGACATCGTTTAAAACCTGTGATGCATTTACTTTGTGATTGATCTGATTCGAGTGTGGACGAATCTTCTGAATTTTCAGAATTTTCCTCTGCATCTATTATTTCTAATAAATTTTCATTATCATTACTACCAAATTCTTTGTTTATAACTAATTTTGATGATTTAGATGATGATTTAGATGATGATTTAGATGATGATTTAGATGATAATTTAGGTGGTGATTTAGATGATGATTTAGGTGATGAAATTGGAACTTCTGAAAGTAAAAGAGGTAAAAGATTCCTCGGTTTAATATCAGAAATTTTATATTCTTCTCCATGATCTTCAGGATAATAATCATAAATATCTGATGGTAAAGAATATCTTCTCCCTCGGAAAACTTGAAATAAATCATTTTTCGTTACTGGTTCCTTCTTTTTCTTGATTTTTGTACTTAAAAAAGGATTTTCTGATTCATCATGAATATCATGAACTGGCACTATTGTCCCATTTTCTTGTTTTAATACACTATAAACAGATCCATTCTCATAAGCAATTTCCGTTTCATCCGTTTCATCTGAATATTTTCCTGAATTAGATTCACTGTCTGACCATTCTCCATATGACGATGAATAATAGAATTCATCATAATCTTCATCGTCATCATCATCATCATCAAATTCTTTAAATCTATTTTCATCATTTCCTTCATTATATTCGTTTTCTTTATTTTCATCATTTTCTTTGTTTTCATCATTTTCTTTATTTTCATCATTTTCTTTATTTTCATCATTTTCTCTAATTTCTCCATCTTCTTCACCATAATCATTTTCTTCATTTCCAACATTTTTATTTACATTATATTCATTTTCTTCATTTCCATCATTTTTATTATCATTTTCAGCTGGAATTGGCCATAGAAGTTTCACAGAAGTGGATAAGGGTTCTTCGTCAGAGGGCATTTTAAATATAAATTGCGTCCCTAAGGCAAGAAAAACAAGTGTATCTTTAGATTCTCGTTCACTTTTTGTAAGAGGTTGTGGCCTTTTTTTATTATTAATTCTATCCTTTTCAACTGCTAAAGGTCCAAAAGGATTATTTGGCGAATCTGTAGGATATTTAGAGTTCTTTGGACTAGGGCAAACTGGATAATAAATTTCAGAATTCATTACTTTTTGGTCATTTGAATTCTTCTCCGTCTCTCTCTCCAAATTATTTCATAGTATAGACGATAAATGGTATTGAAATTGTGAAATTCGGGTTTTGCCAGTACTAACTTTCAAATTGCATGTGACTTCGTGACTACCCATGACATCATACGTGAAGGGCAACATTGTGTTCGGATTTTTAATAAAATTCACTAGATTTATAAGATTTACTTCGTCAGTAACCTCCAAAATGCCTAAAACAAAAAATACGACACGACCTTTGCAGGCTTATTTTACCTCCGTACCTACCAGCGAAAGGAAAAGCGCGACAGCTGCTTTCGCTACGGCATCATCCCTGATGGAGAAATCATCTCAACCAAGACGTATGATTCCTAGAGAAAAAGTAAGACGTCCTAACTCAGTTATACGCAATAAAGCAGAGGTTTCAGTAAAATATGTAAAAACCGAAGAAGAGGAAGGGATTCAAACAATTAATAAACGCAATTTTCAAAATAAACCAATAAAAAAAGAGAAGGATTGGGGTCTTATAAAAGAAGTAACTAATAAATATCAAAATGAGCATAATAACAATGTTTCAGTAAAAAAAGAAGAGAAAAGAAATTTGGACTTTGAAGTTTCAAAACAAAAACCTACAAATTATACAGAATCTTCACAGGATGATTTTTTCGATGACTCTTTGTCCGATGATGATTGTTGGAACGAAAAGACAAAAGAAAGATGGTTAGATTTAAAACGTAGTCTTTCAGAAGATTGCAGTGAAGTGCCAATTACAACAATGTCACAAGAAAAGAAGCTCACTAAAGAGCAACTTAAGATCTATGATCTAGCGTTAAATTCTCGAGATGGAATATTCTTTACAGGATCTGCAGGTAAAATAACTTTTATTAACTGTTTAATGTTTATTTTTTATTTCCTTAAAGGATTTTTTATGATTTAAATTTATAAATTAAGGTAGTGGTAAAAGTATGTTACTTCAACGAATAATCACTGCGCTTAAGAATAAGTTAGGAAGTGAATCGGTAGCAGTTACTGCACCTACAGGTGTAGCAGCAATAAATGTTAGTGGAAATACTTTACATTGGTTTGCTGGAATTGGGAAAGGTGAAGAAGATGAAAAAATTCTTCTTAAAAAAGTTAAGAATAATATGAGTGCTAAAACGAGATGGCTTAAAGTTGAGGTTCTCATCATTGATGAAAGTAAGCATTATAATAAATAATTATTTTGTATAATTTAAATTCTCTTTAATTTGAATTCTTTAATAAAAATTATATCAAATAATATAAAAATTATTTAGTATCGATGTTAGACGGTATTCTATTTGATAAACTTGAATTTATTGCAAGAAGAATTCGAAATAGTAATCAACCATTCGGTGGCATTCAAGTAATTCTAATTTTAATTTAAATTAAATTCTCAGTAATTGATTTTTCGAGACAATTTTAATTTCATTTCTTTATAGATAATTGTAACTGGTGACTTCTTTCAACTTCCTCCAATTGCAAATGCCAATACAAAAGTTAAATTTTGTTTTGAAGTAGCTTCTTGGAAAAAATGCATCAAAAACACTATTCAATTGACCCAAGTGTTTCGTCAGAAAGAAACTGGTAGATAAATAATGCATTAAAATTTCCCAAATATCTATAAATATTTTTCGAATATCTTTAATACTCTTTGTTTATTCTTTATTAGAATTGATCAACATATTAAATGATATTAGAGTAGGAAAAATTACAGAGAAATCATCGGAACTTATTAAAAGTCTAAAGAAACCAGAATATCCGGATGATGGAATATTACCTACTGAATTGTAAGTTCAACTTAAAAGATATTATTTAATTGTCTGGAGCGTAACGTAGGACATTATACACTTCTAGTGATGATTTGAATGATAATTGTCACTAAGTTTGAAGATAACGATCATGTGATAATTGATACAATGGTTTCCATTTCCTAGTAATGATTCATATTTATATATTAAACTGTAGATTCCCGCGTAATTTTGAAGTAAACAATGCGAACCTTGCACAGTTGGAAAAAATAAAACATAAATCTCATTCATTCTTTGCTAAAGATTGGCAACCCGATAAGATCGGACAATTAGAAAAATTGGATAAAAACTGTCTGGCTCCTAAAGTATTAGTATTAAAAAGAGAAGCTCAGGTCATGTTGATTAAGAATACTAGTAAAGAATTAGTGAATGGAAGCCGAGGAGTTGTTATTGGCTTTCGATCTATTGCTACTAATCAGGACTTTTATAAAGGCGAAGAAGAGACATTAAATGTAGGTGATTTAGAACCTATTGTAAGATTCGATAATAATATCGTAATGCCAGTAAAAGAAGCCGAATGGACTTTGAATGGAATGGGAGAAGTAATCTTGGCAAGGCGTCAACAAGTAAGTTATTCCAAATAAGTTATTTTGTGGGTATTTTTATTAATTTTATTTAACTGGGATTCTTTGTTATTCAAGATACCGTTGATTCTTGCTTGGGCAATCAGCATTCATAAAAGTCAAGGGCAGACTTTGGCTCGTGTTAAAGTTGATCTTAAAAGAGTTTTTGAGAAGGGACAAGCCTACGTAGCTCTTTCCCGGGCAACTTCAATCAAAACAATTCACGTGCTTGGGTTTGATGAAAAAAAAGTGATGGTACATGAAAAAGTCAAGGAATATTATGCATCACTTTCCACAAATTTATATATCTCAGAAGTTAAAGATGAATATGGCGACTCCAAACCGAAAGATAAAGAAAATGAAAAGACCAAGGAATATTGTAATCCACTTAACTCAAATTCACTTGCCTCGGAAGTTAAAAATGAATCTCATGACATCAAAAACGAAATTTCCCAGAAATATTATACTTCACCCGCCGCAAAAGTTAAAAATGAATATAATGACATCAAAAGTGAAATTTATAACCGGGTAAACAAACGCAAGGCTCAAGAGATTGATGATGGTGATTCTAGTGATTCTTGTGTAATAACGGGCTACAAGTCTATAAAAACTGAGTAGTTCTGTTGTAATTAAACAATTATTTACATTATTGTATAAATTTTAGAGTAGAATTTATATATGAAATGCAAATTGGTTTTTTATTTGACTAACAATAAAATCAAAATATATATATATACAAGAGAATTTTTTATTTTTTATTTTGGAGATAAAGTATCTATATAAAAATATGTAGTTACGCCAAAAACCCGAATCACGTCTTCACCTTAATTATCACGTCAATTTGTTACAATGTAGTGGTAGTATGTCGTGTGTAGTGACCATTGTCGTGTGTAGTGACCATTGTCGTATGTCGTGACAATAATCGTGTATCGTAATTATAGCCGTGTGTCATAACCATAGTCGTGTTTTATAAAGTATATGGCGTAATTAAACTTTTCCCTGGTCTCCTGGCATACTCCTATTAAAGAAAGCGAGAAACTAAGTAAGTAAAAAACTGTTGTCATAACAAAATAACAACTTGTGTCGAAGCAAGCCACTATCTTTTATGCCTTATTCACTTGGCCCAAAAATAAAAGCAACAAGGAAAGACGTTCACAATCAGCTGCTCGACTAACAGCGTCTATGTGGCCACGAAGTGCTTCCAATTTCTTGTTGATTATTCCCAAACCAAGCAGCGTAACTTGGGAATATATGACCAATTAATACTTAATAGTCTTACCTAGATCTAGAAAAATTAGGGTTCAAACAATTAGAAATTCTTTTGCAACTCGACTTGTATGCTTGGGGTCATTGTCTTGTTGAACTGCCAACAGTTCCCAAGCATTTTTCGAATTTCGGGAAAGTGTTTTTCTAAGATTTCCACATAAAATGGACCGATCATAATTCGTTGGAAACTAAAAAGGCTCGTTTTGCCTTTTGGCCAAAACTCCCCCAGGAAAAAATTTTCTTTTATCTTTTGGGACTCGTCGTACCGGACGTTTTTCTTTGTACCAATATTGCCACGCTATACGCTTTTGCATGTGTTCGCTTGTAAGCATTGGCGTTACCTCTGCTCGATTTTTTTTATAGCCAAGCTCGGTCAAATGCGAGACCTGAACTTCTTTTGTTAAAAGTTTGTGGCCAGTGCTTTTGTTGAAATTGATGGATCAGTTTTTACTGGTTATCTGTAATATATTTATACTAACAACGCAATAATCTGTCACAATACGGAAGAGTTACGTTATGACAAAATTTATTTCTAATTTAAAAAGATTACAATAAATTTGATCAAGAGAAAAGTTTCACACAGGAAAAGAAAACCTGGGCTTTGGAAAGAAAACAAATGAAGCGTAAGTTATCACAAAAGGATAATGAAATAAAATTGCTTTATTGCAAGGTTAATTACAAAGATACAGATCGAATAAATAAATCGAGCAATAATTATATTATGTATTTGAATCACCCATAAGAGTTGGCTAATTCTGTAGCACAACTACCATTGGAGAAAATTATAAGAAATTATAAAAGAATATAATATAAAAAAAATTAAGGAAGTATTTTGTTAATTACACCCTTATGCAAACCATAATAAAGGGAGATCGGTACTAATACTAATCCAATGCTAACGAAAAGTTTCGAAACCAGCCAGTTGGGTCGATTTGGACATTTGTTCGCCACACTCTTCGTCAGCCATCTTCCATTTAACAGTTACCCATACCCAGGGTTGGGAATTTGTACTGTACTGTACTAAGTACAGTACAGTCAGTACACGTACTGTACTAGTACTATGAAATTTTCAAAATTTAGTACATTTAGTACATATAAAACATGTGATTTATTAATTTTAATTGGTTAATAATTTTAATTGATCTTGTGATATATTGTACTTGTACTAAATGTACTAAATATTTTAGTACAATTTAGTACAATGTACTAAATATTATAAATCATATGATATTTAAATTGTATTAATCTTTATTAATAAAAAAAAAATATTACATTATTAATCAAAAGGACAAGGTAAATTATCTTTGAATATAATATCTAAATTCCATTTAGCTTGAATATTTATTACTGGATGATCAATATTTTCAATCTCATTTTTCAAAAATTCTGAATTTTCTCTTTCTGTTTCAAGTATTCCCATCTATTCAGATAAATGATCAATAAACTTTTGGAAAATATCTTCTATAACTATATTATTATTTTCATCATCTTCACTATTATTTGATACTTCTTCATTTTCTTCAATTATTAATTTAATTTCAGAATCATGATCTATATTTTGTATTTCAGTTTCTGAATTAACTTCCTGTATTTCAGTTTCTAAATCATTATCTTGTGTTTCAGTTTCTAAATCATTATCTTTTATTTCAGTTTCTAAAGTAGAATTTATAATATTAGACACAATAGATTCTTTATAAAATCTTCTATTATATGTAATATCAGCACGTAATTTTGCCACATCTAATACATGTATATACTAAATAAATAAAAAATTTAATTAAATAAAAAATAAATATAAGAATTTTAATATAATTAAAATAGATTTTTTACCTTCAATTTATTTCTATTCTTGATATGATAAAATCCCATATTACTCCATAATCTTTCAACTGATGCAGCATTAACACAAATACCAAAAATTCTAGAAGTAACTATTCCTATTTCTGGATATGCATCTTTAATCCAGCACCAATATTTATATATATATTATTTTCAAATTGATGAATTGTTTCATTATCAAAAGGATAATTTTTTCCTTGAGAAAAATCATCAAATTCAACAAGAATAGATTGAGGATCACATCCAGTTCAAGCTTTATAATAATATACTAACCATTTTTTCATATGTAAATAACTGATTCTTGATGAAGATGGTGATGCAAAATATTTTGTTCGGTAAAATGGATAAAGAAGTCAAAGAATAAGTAATGGCTGTTTCCAAGATTCTCATCTTTTTTGTAAACGTGTTAAGATCCTATTTGCCATATCACTATTTATATATTTTTTTCAAAATTGTGTAAGATAAGCAAACCCATGTAAAACTTCATATAATCTTGCTTTATCTGTTTGTAATATATTGAGAATTTGACAATAAGGAATTAAAAGTTGTTCTAGTTTTATTAAATTTCTTCAAAAATTTTCATTCATAATAATTGAATAAATATCTTGGAAAATAGTTAATGGATCATTTGATTGACGACGAGTATTTAATTGAGATGGTTCAAATTTAGTAGCTAAAGACTAATGAAAAAAATATTTAATTAAAATTAAATAATTAAATGAAGCTAATAAAAAATATATAATTAAAATTAAATTAAATTTATATACCCGTAAAGCATTTTTAGTTGCTTTTATACTTGAACAACAAGTAAGATAGCTATTCCATCGAGTATCTCCTAGAATCATTGGTTGAATATATTTTCCATAAATCTTTTTTTTGAATAGTATGAAGTTGTCCAATAAAATATTTATTATTTGCATTTTTAAAATATGCTGCTATTTTTAATGCATAAGTTGATGTTGTTTTAAATTCTGGTGATACTTTAAAAATTTCACCCACACACAAATTAATTTGGTGAGCATAACAAGGAAGAAAAACAAGTTCTTGATATTGGTTTCGAAGACGTAACCTACAATATAATTAAAAATTAATTATATAAATTAAAATAATAATAATTACACAAATTAAAATAATTTTAATTAACTGAAAAAAAAAAATAAAATTAAGATTTTTATATATAAAAAATTTACCTTGCAGCATTATATGCTAATGTACTATCAGTAACAATTGCTAAGATAATTAAATTCAATTCTCTAATATCTGTAATCATTTCTTTTGTTTTTGTAATAACATTGTTGATCGTGATTACCTTTACTAAACACGATTAACTAACAACTAATAACAGGGAAACTATTGTCCAAAAGATCACAAAGCAAT